CCCCCCTCGAAAACACGATTTCAGCCATATTTTGCGGTCTTGTTTGCTTTTTATCGCCGAATCTCGCAAATATCATCCAGTTGTTGTACTTTTACATAACGATAAATGGCTAAAGACTATTTCAACCTAGTTTCATCAAGTTTTGAAACAGTGCAGTGTAGTTTATCTTCGATATTGTGTTCTTCGATATTTCGTGAAATATGGCGCCATTGAAATGGCTCGCCGCTTCTTCGCCCGGTAAATACCACTTCTTCGTCTTTATATGTATTTAGATTACATTATCCAAGAGTACTTCATTGTAGAATAGTCCCAATCCAAAAATTGAAAACATTATTTTCACTTGAAAAGAAAGGGCCTCCCATAACAGTTGTCTTGTCTGAATTCAAAAGAAGTAATTTAAAAGTCACGCCCAAGTTCGGGAAAACTCTTCGTGGGCTACATGACAGGGGGTCAATATTTTCACGAAACGTTCCTTCGCCACAACAGCAGCCTGACTAAGTACATTATATTTATTGTATTTTGGGATTTATTATAAAAACAATAAATATTTGCGTATTTTTATCATCAATCATAAAAATACAATAAATATAATATATTTAGTTTGGTTGCTGTGGTGGCGAACAAACGTTTCGTGAAAATATTCAACCTCCCCCATGTCATGTAGCCCACGAGGAGTTTTCGCGAACTTGCGCGTGACTTTTAAATTACTTCTTTTGAATTTTGACAAGACAACTGTTATGGGAGGCCTTTTCCTTTTAAGTGCAATGGATTGGAACTGTTCTACAATGACGTACTCTTGGATAATGCAATCTAAATATATATGAAGACGTAGAAGTGATATTTATCAGGCAAAGAAGCGGCGAGCTATTGCAATGCAGCCATATTTCACGAAATATCGAAGGACACAATATCGAAGATAAAATACACTGCACTGTTTCAAAACTTGATGAAACTTTGGTTGAAATCTTCTTTAGCCATTTATCATTAGGTAATAGTACAACAGCTGGATGATATTTGCGAGATTCGGCGATAAAAAGCAAACGAGAGGGGAAAATATTGCTCAAATCGTGTTTTCGTGGGGAGTAAGTATATATTTAAAGAAAACAATGCCAATCCTTATGAAATCCACAATAATTATGTTAAATTAAGCATTGTTTTTCATCCTATGCTAATATTTTTCAGGAAATAAAAAAATTTAATTTCTGCCAGGCATATTAGTTATTTTATGCAAAATATTATACTTAGACAAATTTTTAAAAACAAAAAACTTCCACTAGCCACTGATAAAAACAAAAAAACCTCCACCAGCCACTGATCTTCCCCATAGTTTGAGTTCGAAGAAGTAGACGAATCATTTGTCCTCCGAAAACTGTCATCTCTGAAAACTAAAAAAGTCACCGGCCTCGATCAGATCAGTGCTAAAATATTAAAAGATTCAGCCCCTACAATTGCATCAAGTTCAGCGAAGATTTTCAATGCCTCGCTGGTCTCACAACATATCCAGATATTTGGGAAAAAGGAACAATTATCCCCCTCTTCGAAGCCAACGACCCAACAGCACCTAACAACTACCGACCTATAATTATTTCACCTATCCTAAGTAAAATCATGGAGCGCATAGTTCACAGTAGACTTGCCACAAGTCGACCATGGGGGAGGGAGGGCGCGACCCGAGCGGCGAATTCGCGAGTGGTCGACTTGTCTCGCTTGCAGGAATTTGAATCGCATTAAAAATTTTGGCGCGAACAATTTTGACATATTAAAAAGGGCGTGTACATTTCATACAATTACTTCACTGCGCGCCGACACAATGGGTCTACAAAAAAACAAAAACATTCTCAAGAATTGATAGCACCGAGTGTGGAAACGAAATAACTGACCCAAGTAAGCGCCGAAAGCTGTTCAATGTATCAACAAAACAAGTGCATGTAAAAACTTATTGAATCTGGACAGTTGTTTGTCTAACAATGTGTGCCGTATTGTGTCGACAAGAATAGTAATTTATTAGACTTATTAAAGAAAGTTGATCCAGTTCGCGAGCAATTTCACGTAGTAGAAGTTAATATAATTGAAAAGAATCAGACAACTGTAACCAAGAAGCAGAGAGGCGGCGATTGTGATCAACGAGAAGACGTCGCTAGAGTTCAAAATCCAGTAAATCCTGTTTTCCCAAAGCCTGAGAATATAATATTATTTTTAGACTCCTTCGATAATGACCAATAATGTAAACCGCTTCGACCTTCAATGTAAACAATGACGTCGCCAGTGGATTTTTCCACCAGTGATATTTGGCACGCTGCAAGTGACAAAAGTCCTTTCCACAGAGGAAGTGAAGCGCGCCATAGAAGGGTCTGGAAAGGACTTTGGAAAGTCTAAGTTCACAGGCAAGTCTACAAGTATCTACGGGAGCATAATCTTATCACTTCGGAACAGTTTGGTTTTCGCCCGAATTTATCTACAAATGTTGCTTTAACGCGAGTTACTGAGGAAATTCTACTTAATATCGACAACAAATTAGCTACCAGTGCTGTTTTCATTGACGTACGAAAAGCCTTCGACACAGTTGATCACACCCTACTAATTGCTAAATTAAAAAATACTGGATTTTCAGCACCTGTTATAAACTGGTTCACATCTTATTTATCTTCACGTACAGTCGTTACATCGATCAACAACATCACGTCAACTCCAAAACCAGTAACCGTAGGCGTGCCGCAAGGAAGTATCCTAGGACCCCTACTGTTCCTAATATTAATTAATGAATTGCCTCAACGTTTGAAACACTGCAAATCTATTCTGTATCCTGACGACACTCTGCTATACTACTCTGCGAGGACAGAAAACGAACTACAAGATAAGATAAACGAGGACTTAGATTCACTATCACAATGGCTCAACAACAAACTACTAACACTGAACTACGAAAAAACTAAATTTATGATATTCGCCAACAAAAAACAATCAACCAATGTAGACATCACCATCCAAAATAAGAAAGTGTCGCAGGA